TCGTTTTTTGTTTGCAAACAATTTTTAAGTTTTTTGTCATTTTACTATTATTAATGTTCAAGTGTTAAGCGTTGTGGCAAGGTTTAACGGCAGGGAGGGGGATGTTCTCGTGTCCACACTTTGTGGACGTAAGTCGCGTTAAAGCCCCAAGCCTGTGGAACGTCGCGAGCATCCTGCGCATCGAGACGGACGAGTCGACGACGGGTCGACGGCTCACGGATATTTTCGGATTAACAGTGGTCTATCCTGTTGTATTTTTCCTAAACGGACCACGGGCGGAGGATTCATCGCGGTTCATCGAACCCTCGGCTTTAGAAGCTCTGCGACGGTGGTTCAACGGTTATCCTAGACCGGTCGCAGTATCTGCGAATAGTGGCGAAACAACAGGTGTGACCACCCAATACAAATATTTAGTACTCGTTTATGCAGAAAATATGGTACTAAATTTAAAAAAAAGAAAGTATTGCGTTTTACTAGGTAAAGAACAATTTACGATATTACTTACCTTATTATTGAAACATCCGACTAATTTGTTTAACTTTCAAACTTTCAACCCATAAGTTGCAAATTTTTGGATTTTTTTCCCCACTTCTTGGGCTTCTGCCTCACTGTGCGTCGTGCCGCGTGGTTCCCGGAATTCGCGGTGAAGTTCGAGGTAAGCCTGCCTCGAGAGTCAACCTCGAATAACCACTCATGCGGATCGAGCGTAAATGACGACAAAGTTTCGCAAAAAAAAAAAAAACGAAAAAAATTTTTTATCGGGATCAACCTCGAATCCTCGTGAATTATATTAGGTAATCCCATGAGTGTGGGCTGTTGCAGCATCGTTCGTTGCTTTTTACGGTCCTCGAGACCCCGCGACTCGAGTGCACTTGGTGTCGGGGGACGCTTGTTATCATCACGCGTGGTGTCTTTGATTCGATCGTACCTATTTTTAGCGACTACTTTTCTTTACAAGCAGTTTATATACTTGGCAGGTTTGAGTGTACTAACTGGTGACAAGGACAGATAGCGTGGTGGTATAGTAAGGCCCATTGATAGTCGGATCCAGCTAGCGACCCAGAATATATATGACACTGGTAGCTAATTAGGCGACTCTTCTGCTGGCTGAAATTTTTTGTCCTATTTTAATTTGTGCTCGCCGTAAATACTTCTGTAAGTTTTTTATTTTTTTTTTTATTCTGGTGTCTATGTTTGTAATTCTTCATACAGTCCCATCGAATTTTTGTTACATTTTGTTACATTTTTTATACATTTTCTATAAGCCTTTGTGAACTCTGACATATCTTGACGCATAATTGTAGACTTCCATATACTTGTATATTAACCAAAGAGTTCATAATCCGTTTCTAAATAAATATTGTATTATTATTATTATTATTAAATCGACACTGATATCGAACTGAAGCGATCTCTATTAATTTCTATCGATTGCTCTATTTTAGTGTTTGAAACACGAGCAGTTTAGATACTATGTATACTTGGTTGTAGAATCACAGTATATCTACTTCGCCAAGAATACTTGATATCTGTCTTGGTTGAGTTTCTCGGTACCACCAGACTTCTTTTTCATTTAAGCAAATCGCGGCCAATTCACGAACTCGTCTAATCCACGTCGCTTCTCCATTGTGCTTAATTCATGGTAATCCGTTTATGCAAATCTCCGCGCAGTTCGCGTAAACGTTCTCTGTGACGCTTTCCGGGTATCCCCGATCACGTTACGATGAGCAACTAAATCGTCCGTCGTACTAGACCGCCTAGACACTTGTTAGGACCACTCGAATAGTCGAATTATTTGAAATATTCGAATTGTTCGAATTATTCCACTTATTTTAATTATTCGAGTGATTCGAATTATTAGTTTCATTTGACTTATTCTAATTATTGAAGTTATTCGAAAGTTTCGAAATATTTGTTTTATTCAAAGTATTCGGAATACTCGCAAAATCGGTTCAGATCGGAGCAACGCGATACGAGAGGTCCGTTCGATTTTCTCCCTATATCCGTGTGTTCTCTAGGCAGCTGGGACGTATTACTCTCGTTTTGGGTTCGAGCCTTCTGCGAATTCGACTACGCGGTATGTTTAGACACAAAAGACCCGTGGTCCGTAGATAAAGCGTACAAGATTTCACAGTTCATAAGTTCCACCACCGGAGTCAACGGTCTATGAAACGTTGGTATATGGGCCAAATTAGCACCAGCGGGCTCTATACTCCACACCCGTGTCGACCACGGCGTCCTATTCTCATCCTTCCAATAATAGATTAAACGTTTAGCGGGATTCGACGCCTATGTTCTATCGTCGTTGCATTCTCCTCCTCCTCCTTCTTCTCCTACTCCTTCGTGGCTCTCGCGATGGACATCGCGAATGCGTCATCCACCGTTGATTTAACGAGCCTCTGTTGCACACCGCTCAATTCAAAGAAAAAAAAAAAAAACAAATAACCTTTTAAACTTTCAGTACAATCACTATAACACTTTGTAAACTCTCGTATATCTTTACGTATTATCGTATTTTCTCCTTTTTTTTCTTTTTCTACTTTTTATTTCCTCCCCATACAATCGGAGTTACGTAGATACACAAAATCTCTACAGTGTGCCAATGATTCGAGACTTTACAAAGTTTTCAGATTTTCAAAGGCTTTCCAAACTTTCTAGACTGTCAAGACTTTCAAGACTTTTCAAACCTTCAGGACTTACTTGCCAGTCGGTAGCTGTAAGTCCATGGGTGTTGCGACAGCATCATTCGGGGTCGATTCTATCGTGGAATTCACTAGTTTTCCAGAATCGTGTCGCCTCGTGGATCGCCTATTGTGCCGAACGGGGGCCCTCGATGGAACACACAACGTGCCCGGGGCCGTTGTTCAACTCGCATATTTGCGATGCGATGGCGTGTCGAGGGGCCTCTCCTCTCTTTCTCTTCTGCTCTCTTGCTGGGCTGCTTAGGACCGCGGCTCTGCGCTTAGAACGACTTAGCACACGCGGTGCAACGACCTCGCGCAACAAGCCTTACCGTGTGTCTCTTTCTCTCTTTATCTCCCCTTCCCCCCCCCCCACTCACTATCTCTTTCTCTCTTTCTTGAGTGCATAGCCAAAGCAAACGGACGAATGAACACACGGTACCAGCTTAAGAGGGACCGAGTTACGATCTTTCGTTCTCTGTTCGTTGGCGCGCGAGCGTCGCGACGCTCCCCTCGAATTCAGCCTGTCGCTGTTGTCTAATAAACCGTCTGGAAATATTGCCGGGTCGCGCGCTTGCACGAATAGACGTGTGAAACCTTTCGGTTGTTCGAGTCTACGATTATGACCGTTGGATTCGAGTGGGTATACTTTACTTCTAAAAATGATATTAAGTTTGTATTGTTAAAACAGTGTAAAGTCCATCACATAGTCTTAAATCCGTTCAATAGTTTGAAGGTTTTCGCACCTTCGGTTTGCTCTCCAAAGTGTGAAAAATGTGACTTCATACACTCAGGCTCTGGGGTCCAGATATACAAATGTCCCAATGTGTGGCGCGACGAAACGGCTCGAAAGTCCAGAGTTTCTTCGACCCCGAGGATAAAACCACGAGACGACGCGCATAATACATCCTAAAAACAAAAAAAAAAAAAGTCCTCCCGCGTTATTTTCGGCACAGGCCGTCTGTTTATTTTTACGCGGAAACGGAAAAGGACGTCGTGACGCAGTCATACACGGACCAGACGCCCGCCCCCCCTTTTTTTCCCTCGCCGTTCTGCGCTCCCTCTGCCCCTTTCTTTTTCTTCGCCACAGGCGGAAGAAGGTGCGACCGTCGCGCCGGTGCGCGTCACTTTTAAACGAGGCAACGGCCTTGCGTGAATGGAGCTGCTCTCCGCTCTTTTTTCCTTGCGCCACACGGCGCACACACGCCTTCCCTTCGCCCCCGATCACTCGCCGAGCCACGCTTTCTTCTTTTCCCAAGCGCCGCCGCTGTCTCATCGTCGTCTCGGGCCGATTTTTAAGCGGTCACGGGCTCTCGTACCTACCCGCGAGATCGGTGATTCAGAACTCCCCCCTCCCCCCTGGCGATTAACGTTACTCCCAGCTGTGTGTGTGTGTGTGTGTGTGTGAGAGAGAGGGAGAGAAAGAGTAATTCATTCCGCGGGGTTTCACTTTTATTCCGCCGTTCCTGTAGAAGGAGAGGGACGAGAGTACGCACGAAACGAAATGGAAAGCCGTTCCCCGGAACGGTTTAGATTCGCTCCAGGGGCAGGGGGGTACGCCTCAAGGATGCGACGAGACTACACTTCGCTAGCTTCACCAACGGGGATGCTGAGCGAAAGCTTGAAAATAAGGACCATGTAACGCGTCCCAGTACATTCGTCTATAGAGCTGTAATATGTACAGGGTGTCCCATTTAAATCGACCCACTCGAATATCTCCGAAACTGTTGACAGTGTTGAAAAGTGTTTCGCATCGTGTCAGGGTGCACGCACTTTCTGGTGGAATTTTTTTTTAGGTATACGCGTAGAGGTCATGTGAAGGTCAACTTTGTTTTTGTTTTAATGGAATCGTGTATGTTTTAATTCACTACTTGATGCTGTTTGTTATTAGAAAAATATACGATTATATTTGGAAAAACAAAGGTCACCTCTATATGACCTCTACTCGTCGACCTAGAAAAAAATTCCATCAGAAAATGTGTGCACTCTAGTACCAGTGAACTTTTGCTCGAAACATTTTTTAATATCGTCAACAGTTCCAGAGATATTCAAATCGGTCGATTTGGGACACCCTGTATACTGATACGACTTATGTACACCATAACGAGGTTGTATAGTGTGTTCCAAAAGTTAGTGTTGTCCAATGATATTCTCTATTGCACCATTATTAACATTTTAGAAAATATTCGGTTGTTACCTCGTTATCCGGGTCACCCTGTATAAGTGACGCTGGTAGCGGATGTATTAATTGAATTGCATTATTTTTGTATGTGAGGAAACAAGGAATGTGTAATAATTTGACCACTGTATTTGTTGCAGAATGCACGTTTGGCAAGCAGATACGGGAACTGGGCTCCACCTGGTTCGCGGATTTGGGTCCGCCCTTCGGCGTCATGTACTGCATCAAATGCGAGTGCATTCCGGTACGTATTAAAGTGGGTGTGCCCGACACGCATTCGCGCATGCCTCGTGGAGGTGACAGGGCCTGAATCCATGACTATTTTTGACGAGCATTTAATAAGTCCCCTACTCTATTAACTATCATATGTTGCTGCATACGACATAGAAGCTTACTGGAAAAAACACTGAATTCCATTTATAATCGATCAGTGTGAACTTAGATTGGCGAGCATTTAACGGGACCCGGGTACATTTATCGGTCTCAAACGTAAAAAATGAAAATATTGGTCTAAATAGAAAAGTGTAGGCAGGTCAAAATTTCATTGAAAAATTAAAAAATTCACATTTTCTCTAATAGAGTTTTTCATGAAAATTACCCAAGCACACCCTGTATATCGTTACGATCCAAGCTCAATGGTCCGATACACGCGAAAGACCTCCGCCGGCTTACTTAACTGGCCATTTTTCTTGTCGACTTTTCTTGCTGCCTCGTAATAATAGAGCCCCGGGTATTAATGAGAGCGATTTTGTACAGATAAACGGGGCGGCTGGAACCGATTAGGCCCCGTTTAGCGGCTCTCTTCCGGACTTTCTCGACGAAAGGCGTGTGCAGACTCTGACCCAGGTGTTCTAAAACTGTTTTATATTAATCGTCAAGAATTACCGTACAATTGAAAATCAACGAATGTCTAAATTAAGTAAACTCCACATACAATAAACAGTTATGTTTTATGTAGATTTACAGTATACAGTATTACGTACGTATATGAAAAATTACACTGAGGTATAATTTACATTTCGGTAAAATGAAAAAATTAAACAAAAACTGATTTTCCTCCGTTAACGATTGGCTAGGTGGAAAACCTGTTTTACAATGTTCGAATCAAGACAGTCAACGTTTGTTTAATTTGGAATTTACATAATTCTGAATAATGAATAAGAAACACTTCGAATATGTGTCCTATTAAAGGCTCCATCGGACCGTGAATGTTTGCGCACATTGACATTTTTACTGACCGGTTCACAAAGGTGTACGGTAATTAAACAGAAAATCATTTTCCGTGATAAATTATGCTTCGCCGCGTTGTCGGTCGAGAAATCGATTATTAAATATTATTAAACGATTTCTTTTGTCGTCTCTCGCGCATTCTGCAATAAGAAACGATTGACGCAGATTCCCATTTTTACCATACACCGTTGTGGTAAACAGAAATTCATACCATCCGTCGAAGATTCCAATTATCGAAACAAAAACACTACGATCTACGATCACAGTTGTTTTTTCATTGTAAAATGTTTTTGTATGTTGTGTTTCCTGATTTACGTACAACAGATATATGCATAAAATCCACGGTCTATATCTAATAGATACGGAGGTATCATCCAACCCTATCCGACTCTTCGATATTACCAAATTCAATAATGACCAAAAAATCCCAGATGATCCTACTATCTGGTCGGCCACTGATCGCACCGGCCATCTTAACTGTTAAACCATCTACAATATTTTAGACTTTAAATGGACAGGCGAAAGTTCAAGTCGAATTGGGCTGGTATCATCCAACAACGGTTTAGATAAATCCAAGATGGCGTCGTTCCACCACCTCGCCGTTAAGAACTCCTTTTATTCATTCCATCGGAAACGACGGAGCAAAAGGGTTTCATTAAAGAAGCGACGAATCCTGATTTTTATCGGTCGAGACAGCTTTTATCCGGTCGAAGGGGGAACAAAAGCGGCGATTTAAACGGAAGATCCGATCGAGATTTGGTTCGCTGCTCGGGTACCCCGATGTCGAAAAGGGGGCGGCCATCTTTGATGGATACGAGAGAGCGAAGGCTCTTTTGATGCCCACGACTCCCTCGGCCGTCTCGTATCGTACGACTATTAAAGATACTCATCTTATTATACGGGGCCCACCGACACCTCACCCACGCGATATCCGTGTTCATTCCTCTTCCCGCCACATACATATTCACCTTTCTTCCCTCTTCACCTTTTCTTTTTTCGGGGGCACCGTGTCGCATATACACAAAGAATGTCTTTTTTTTTTTTCAGTTTTCGTCTTGCTTACTTATGACATACCTTCACGGACGAATCGCCCAATTAGCCCTAAGGGAAACGTCGACTTTCCTCCAAAGTCTTTGAACACTTATCGAAGATATACTGTAATGTGTTTATCAACACGGTGCAGTAAAATAATAGAGATGTAGACGTAACAGAATAGTAAACAAGATATTTCAGCATCATAATCCGACTCTGTTGGGAGAACGATTCGCGTCTTATAACGAATAATACGACGATCACCGTTATTTTTCTTTGCGAGACGAATGACTCTGCAAACTCGCAGTGGGTATATGTACTCACTAGGCTACCATTAACGCTCGCGAGAAGTAGAAACAACAAGTAATGGGCAGACACGGCGGCCAAGTCGTATTTAGGGAAGCTCTATTACTTTCACATTAAGTTAGATCGTGCTCTTTATTGCTTATGAGACAACCATATACCATTAAATAGGAAATGAATTTTTTAAATATATTATTTGAATAAACTAGCGTTCCAAAAAAAAAAAAAAAAACAGGAAAATTACTTTATGGAAAACAGAAATTAGGCCCTCGATGGCTGAGTCATGCCACAGCCTAGGGTTTTATAGTAACAAACGTCGGGGTTAACAGCAGCATGATCCCGACGGAGGTTTAATTGTGGGTTACAGAACGGGTTGGAAATAAATTCCGGGGGTCAATCATAAAACGATTCGAAGCTCATCGGCTCCTACGTCCGGCACAGAAACAGTCGCGACTGCACTAATGGAGTTTAATTTAGCCAATCTTCGTAAACTCCGTCCTTGACTGGCCACCGTTGGCTTACCGTGTCTCCATCCTGTAATGTCTTGCCGCGTTTCGCTTTCGTTCAGTCCCATGTATACAATGGGTGACCAAGTTATTATGAACAAATGGAGAAATTACATATTTTACATTTACGCTGTCATTATGACTTTAATAATACAGTAATGACTCGATGAGTGCGCGTTACCACGTCCCGAGATGTCATGGGAATGTATTTTCGCGAGGTCGGAGATCAAGCCGGCCGATCCCACTCGATTAAAAAGCCTGGTCCCACTATTCACGAGATCGCGGGGCCTACGGCGTGACTCATCCACCCACGAGTTTCTTCCCTAACCTCGTCCCAGGAGGTAGAGCCATTCCTTATTTTGACACACCGTTGTGCAGAAATAATGACAGAAGTGGCCGAACAGGGATTCGCCGCGTGCAGACCGGAAGTGTTTTAAACGCCGATTTCTGCGTGGGGTCTCCCGTGTGGGCTGTCTTTCAGGCGTTCCGAATAAAACGAAAGAAAGAAAAAAAATAATTTTACAACCATCGCCTCCATTCAGTACTAACGCGCCTGCAGTCGCGCGAAGGTGTACATCGATTCGAGCACCACGAATAGTAATACTTTCGAAATAATTAGCTACGACGAACGGACGCTATTAGAATCGTTTAGGCAAGTTTTAGAAATAATTTTATAGATTATGTTCTGATTTCAGCTCTATATACACATGTTGCGATTTTTCAAACGATGTATTTTTTTTTGCTATTCTTTATTACTCACTGTATTCAACGTATTTGTTATAAAAACAAATCAGAAAGCAATCGTTAAGCTGCTGTGACAGACGTGTCACCGGGACGTGTGATGTTCGCGTGCGAAACAGCGAAATCGTCTAGAATGTGAGCAGAGCCAGTAAAAGCAAAACCCTCTGACGTTAGACATCAGGCCCGCGGCGGCTGCGGCGGCATCAGTTTGGGTAAAGAAACGACGTCTCGTGTGATTCACGCGACGTGTGTCTCTGCCCCGGCTCCTCGCGCGCAACGAAGCCCCGCGACCTATCAATAGCTCCTCATATACACTGAAGAGGGACTGTCATTCCTCCGAAGGCTAATAATAGAGTTCGCGGCGTCCATAAGCTCCGCGCTGGCTTCCGAACGCGCCCGTCCGCGCAGAATCTCTCGCTATCGCGCGCGGTTAGGGACAAACCGATACCGTCAAGGTATCAATAGTTTCACTCATAATTAGTATCGGAAACAAGTATCGATATCTACTTACTATCGCATTGAAGTTATCGATATCTACCTAATCTCGCATGAAACGTATCGATATCTACTTAGTATCGATGTCTGGTTAGTATCGTAACCGAAAGTATCGATAGGTACTGAAAATACTCAGTATCGAAACGAATCAGTCCCATAATTTTAAAATAACGATATCCAACATGATGCATCATTCGAAACAAATTTTCCTAATGAAATTTTTGGTCTGTCTTCGACTGTTTTAACGCCTATAGCTTGTCCCCCCGGTTGAGTGGTGACACCCTGTATACCGATGAGGCGAGAGAACAGTCCCGCAAACAAGTGGAGCCCCCTCGAACCGGGACAATTTACTTCTGGCGCCCCGGTTCCCCGTGTAATTCGAATTCTAACGTCGTCTCCACCCTCCCCCTCGTCTCGCCATCGCCGAATCGGCATCCCGTACGCGCATCGTTTCGTGTTTCAGGAATGCCGACGGCCCAGCCCCATAAAACCCTGAACTTAATTTCCGCTCGTTCGAACCGCCCGTAACCGGAACCCTCTCCCCGATTCTCATGCTTCGAACGAAAGGAATCCGACGAAAGAGATTGGCTTTTCACGCCCGAAGATACGATTCCGGGCGTAAGCAAAATCCCCCCCTAAACTCGGTTAATTTATCGGCCGGTTGACGCCTGTGCGTGTCAGTTCGGACCGCGAACCTACACGCGCCGCCGCCAGTGATGTTTGAAGATCCACAATCGTTGATCGGCCCTTGTTGTCCTACTAGAGTAAGATGTGTGTCCCAATTACCGATCCTGTCACAATGATGGAGCCTCTTTATAAAAATCATTGTTAAAAAAAAAAGAGTGCTCGATTTGGCATAGAATTACCCTTAATCGTTAATCCCAGCTCTGATCGTGAGTATTACCAGAATAATGGTCACTGAGGGCAGGTCGATGATTCTTTTTTCTATCAGGTAGTCATGACATATACAGGGTAGAAAGTGGCGACCGACAAAGACATTAAATAATAGTTTATATTACGCCGAAGCACTGTAAATCGCGCCTGCGGATAATGGCACCATTGACCGTGATAAACGAGTCCTTTGTGATCAATAACACCAACCAATTACTTCGCCTCAGATAGATTTATCGCGTGGACTGTGTATGCATACGTTCGAACTTGTCGTTCAGCGATGCGTAAAGCAGTAATAAACATGCGAGAGCGTGTGCATAGGCAAACGAGGGAAAAACGTCACGCGATTTTGCGAACTGTGTCACCTGGGGGAGGTATTAACCCCCTCAAGAATCCTGAGGGATTATTGATTTGTACCGAATATACAAGCTTACTCAAAAGGATACGTTTCTCGTTTCAGGTGCAAAAGAAACGACGGATCGTCGCGAGGGTCCATTGTCGCAACATCAAGAACGAATGTCCAAAGCTGTCGTGCCACGAGCCTGTTCTCCTTCCCGGCCGATGCTGCAAGTCTTGTCCAGGGGATTTCAGTGAGTAAATACACGCCACTAATTATTTGCACATTTTCTAATACATTACACATTTTATATTACACTATATTACGTTAAATTGTACTATATGTTCAGTATATTATTATATTATACAATCTAATTTAGTATACATTCAGTGACTGCCACAGTGAAAAAGGCCCAACGTAGCCAGACACTACACTATACTACTACTATACTAATACCACTAAACTATACTGATATCGATAAATCAATTCATTGGTATCATTCAACTGGAAATCCACTAAAACAACTGGTGCGTTCGCTTTAACGCGACTTTATCGTCGTCTTAACCGAGGGAGAAAAACCTCAGACCGCGCGGGCACGTGTCGAGCAAATGCATACGTCGATAAATATCGTCGGACGCGCGACTTACACCTGTAAAGAAACGCACGGAATGTCGGAGAGAAAATAGGACACGCGTCGGTGCTAAACACGACAATGTCTCCGAGATAAGGAAGGTTGGCGTCATGGGGTCCTGGGGACAGCAGCCTCGTAACAATCGCGGACTTCACGGGGACATGTGTTTTTTTTGCCTTTCACACACACAGGTATTGTTTCCGATCGCAAAAAGAGTATCAGAAATATGTTTAGAATGCAATACTGTGCATAGTATGCACTGCAAGCATGTGTCCATCCATCATGTTTGGCGGTAGCCAAAGAGTTAATTGAAGAAGTACCCTATTTTTTTTTTCCAATTTTCAGCCCGACAAGCAAACTCCAGTACCCATAAATTCCGTACGAATTTCTCCTCGCATTATCATATATCAATTCCGTGCCAATAAACACGCGTGCCCCCGAGTCACCATTTTAATAAGTGACCATCAAACGCCGCAATGAAACGATGGATGGAGGAATCCAGTTATACCAGCACAGCCCCCCGCGTCTCGAAAAGCTCTCGTCACCGCTCGTAAACACCACCGCAAAAGGATATAGACAACAGTCGTCAGTGTGTATATATCGGGGCAGTGAAGGCATTAATGAGAGTCAAGTGGCTTGCATAAATCATTTATCAACGATCTTCGCCTCTTTGTCTGTATCTTCCCTCTTTATCGACTTTGCCGTCCCCACCCCTTTGGTATCTTCTCTCTATCTCCGTTTCTCTTGCTCCCCTAGATCGCCTCCTACTGCGCCCTCTGTCGGACGCGCGATCGAGGGCCCCTTACGATGATAATCGTATTCGCCAATGCCCCGTGTAATCATGCCCAGCCGTTATCGCCCACGATACCTACATTACCTACCTATTTATTTTTGTTATCGCCTCTCAGACGCTCGAGTGCCCTTATTAACGGATTAAAGGATCGGCGGCTCGGCAATCGTGCGCCACCGGCGGCGGCGCACAGTGGGCCCAATTCGAGAAATTCACAGTGACATTTTTGTAAACAAAAAATAATTGAAATAATTTTCCCTTTTGAAGTAATTCGAAATCGCACTAAATATAGAAATAAATCGGAGCATAGTTATTAAAACATAACGAAACATTGTTCGTTACGATTAAATGTTATTTAATTTTATTTAGGACAAAACTTCAATATTTAAAGATTTATGTACTTTATTTCATGTTTTATTACAACAAATTTTTAGCCCCCTCTACCCCACTTTTCAACCAAAGAGGTCCACGAAGGTTTGGTAGCCCCGGGCCTCAGAAACCTTAATCCGACCCTGCGCAGAGGGCGCTGTACTCTCACCTCCTTAAAAAGGTGAATTACGCCGCGGAACGTATTTACGATTAAGGGGTATAATCGTCTCTCTCTCTCATTGCCGGGCAAAAAATGACTTTTAATGCAGTCACACATACACACGCCGGGTTCCAGGCCGTCTCAATTTATATCCGTGGCGATTCCCGTTGCCGGAGATAATGGTCCGTTTTACATTGCAAATGGCCGGTTTTATATACCCGCCTGGGGGCGAAAGACACACGTGGGCTGCACGCAACTGCGTTTCTTTAAATGGATTTTATAGAATTACGTGAGTGAGTGGTAACATGTAATTAATACCCTGAGCGCCTGTGGCCGGGTCATTGGCGACCCTGAAGGCACAAATCTCGTCCTGTATATATAAGCATCTGAGATCTTGTTGTTGTGGGGTCACTGTTTCACATTGTGTCAAAATCATATCTAAAATCATATCAAAATCTAAACCTCGTTAAGAGAAGCCTTCGAACACTCATAGAGGATTTACTGTATCTAGGTATAAGTGTCTATATCTTGTGGCCCACAATTCACTGACGATCGGTAATTCGGGTGTTGTAATAAGGATTCTTGTTCCTTTCGATTATACTTATGGTAAGAGACTAGGGAGTGCAGTTTTTGTAGAAACTCCGATGAAATCACAGACGTATTGTATGTGACCGTATATTTGTGGAATTCAATAGTTCCTGTATTCATTATCATAGCCCGAGATAGAACGGTTATCTCTGAGATATGCGACTTTCACTGGAACACAGTACGGAGCCGAATTCTCCTGCTGGCTCGCTCGATTTCTCTCCCCTTTTCTTTCCTTGCGCGTCCGTTTCTTTCTATTCCGTCGAGCCCGATTTCTATATCGCCGTTAATCGCCATAGAATGCGGATGGAATAAACGAAACGATCGGGATACTTGCGCCAATTCCAGTCGGCCTTTAAAGTGGAAACATAAGGAGCCTGTGAAAAAATGAAGGCCGAGGATTTAGCACTTGTCCCGCGAGCCGTGGATTTCTGGTCGGGCAACCGAGGCACGTAACGCCGTTCAAACGGAATCGACCGAATTCCCGTGCGCCCCAGGAACGTTGCAAAAACCGGTATTTCCATACGGCGTATCTCTGTTTCGCAACTATGTTGAGATTTTAAAGCCTTGCTCCTCGCATTAAAATGCGTTAAGAATTGGTCAGAAATCAATACATCTGTCTGCACTTTGTTTGCAACTTTGTTGAAAATACGACAAAAACTGTTGTTTATTTACAGATATATTTAGAATTGTATGGTTGCTCAGAGATATTTAGAAATACTTCCAAAAAAACCGAGATCCTGATTGCAACTTTGTCATGCCTCGGGAAAATTCACATCTCTTGATTTTGCAACTTTTTACAAATAACTTTGAATATAATAAAAAACAATTAATTTCTTTCATTTTTCAACTTTGTACATTTCGATGGTATTGTTTCCCCTAATTTGCAACTTTGTTATATCTCTTCAAAGAAGTTACTCGATATCTCGAACAAACTAGATATCAATCGGTCCTCGCAGATTTTTCGTTACAGCTGTTTTCTATTTCAGACTCTCTTGATTTCTCATTCTATAGAGTACCTAACTGCATCACTCACGTCAATGCTACCATTCACGGAACGAGGGAAAGTGCATAGCGATTTCTCTAATAATGTATTCTTAATTCGCTGATAAAATATATAAAATGTTACGATACTATATTGTATAGAACACACGACGCGAATGTTACCCAATGCACACACAAACACACACCGTGATTTTACGATATTATGCGCCGCGATCCGAAACAACACGGAACATCGTGCACGGAATGCTATTTTTCGTTAGACCGCCACGAGCGAGACAGGAACGTGTGGTGGACGACTATTTTGTTCCATGCGACGTGTACGAGGGTATTGTACACGGTGCTGACCCCGCTTGGCACCCAACTCCATTTAAAACAGTCAACGATAAATTCCCTGTGAAATTGTCCCGGCCCTGTCTTTTCGTAACGTACGCGTTCCTCGGATCATTGGCATTGGTCGGGCCGTGTAACATTGTGCGAAACGCCCATAGTATTGAGAATCGAATAAAGATAAGAGCACGTCTCGCTAATTTTCCATGGACGAACAAGAAAACTCAATTTAACCCTTCCACGGTGTATTGACATGTACACTCGTTATGAGGAAATGACCATTTTTTGGGTAATGACGAATATACTCGTCATGCGAAAAAATAAAAAAACCGTACACCATTTGATTCCTTTGTTTGCAACAAAAGAAATATGTTTTTCAGTTTTTATAAAAATTTCAATTTTTATAACCAAAGTTTTTTTATTTTTTCACGTGACGAGTATACTCGTCGTCTTTTGATTTTAATGCCAGACAATTTTTATTTAATTCCGAAACAAAATTGCACAGTTAAACGGTTAAAAACACGAGAAAACGGTTGCAATCTGTGTAAAATGTTGCAAATTGTGGGCAAGTGTACGCATATCCAAACACGATGACCGTTACACCAATGGAATTAGTGTTCGGGACGGCCGTGAGACGGCGGTAATGGCGCGCACGTGCGCGCTAAAGAGATTGCGGGGTTAGGAAAAAAAGCCGTGAGTCCGAAAAAGACGCGACAGACGCCGGGCGCCAGGTATCCTACATTTTATTTTACAAATAAGGAAGCTGTTGCCGCCGTTTTACGTGGATTTTCTTACAATGCGGTCGAGGACTGGCTCGCCGAGCGTTACCGAGCTTATCTCGTGACGAAATAACGTTGCAAGAGGCTGTTAGAAGGAAAAAAGGAAACCACGTTAATGGGATATTCAGTCTCGGCCAATTATCGATTTTCTTTATCCAACGATATAATCTACTGTCGTTAAATTCTTCATAAAACTTAATTGATTTTTTCTGATGTATAACAGCGTGTGGCAGTCGACGAAGAATCTGCATTTAATGATTTTTACGTAAGTTTTAAATCTAAACACGATAACTATGGAAAACCATAACTATTATGATGATGCAAGTACTATGCGAGTTTCGATGGAATATACCAATGATTCAAATAAAATGCAATTCTTACGCCGTCTGATAATACGTTTGGTTATTGTTAAAAGATTTCCATTAGGACGTATTACTACGTCATTTTTGTTAGAGCCCAATAATCCATGATAGTGATCAGAGTGCTGTATTTCGTAATTTTTCATTAGAACGTAGCACCAATTGACTTCACTAGAACGTAGTACTACGTGATTTTCATAGCACTCGAATAGTTACGCAATAGTCATTAGAAGTGAAAAATACTGCTT